TTGGTAGAGATTTTGCTGACAAACATGGAGAAAGACCCAATGATGTAAGAGAGCACGGTACTCCTCAGAGAAGTAAATTAATGATAACTCCAAGTTCTCTTTCCGAACAATAAGGCCCAATGCTCTGTGCTTACTCAACTATGAGGGATGAAGAAAAACCGCAAACTCTAGTGGGAGACCTGTGCCTCTGTACGGAGCCACGGCCCGGGGTCTCCAGCCCCCTCCCTCCCCTCCCCCCACTGTCGTCTAAACGTGGCTGGCTGCAGACATAATCGGGCTTGATCGCCAGCTCTCAAGGTCCCTAGTTTGAACAAATGCCACGTGCTCCAGCTGAAGAGACTCTTACATGGCACTTGGCATTTCAGCTGAAGTATGACACAGCAGTTTGCTTCCCTCGGAGGTTTGGGCCACCAAAAAGAAGGTCACCTTGGTCAACACAGGCAATCGCACGGCTTCAACGAGAAACTGGAAAGCAGACTCTAAGCCAACAGGACTGTCGTGTGCTGACCGGATGTATGAAGAACAACAGCACCAACACGGACGGAGCTTCCTGCTCGCCGTAGCCTGCTACCGCAGAGAAGTGGCTAAGGGCGAGCTCCAGAGTCCAACCGCTTGGTTCCGGTTCCGGTTCCAGCCCAGTTCGTTTCCGCCTGTGTGACCCTGGCCAAATCATTTCACTCTCTCGCCTTCAGCTTCTTTGTCTATAACATGGGGATAGACGTGGTTACGGGAGGTCAACGAACTGGGTAATTCAAGTAAGACTCCCTCACACGGTGGCATGTGCACACATGTGCTCCGTGAGTGCAGGTTGTGGTCACTGTTCTCCTTGCTGTGTTCCTTTTGTCCATTTGGCCCACCTAGAAATGTGTCACATCTGCCGAGGTTGCTCTCCGCCTGCTGGGCCAGGTCTAACGGTCCAGCTGAAGTTCTGGGGGTTTCTTCTGTCTTGTTTCCGAGGAAAAGTGGAAGTGACATAATAATAGAGAAATAAATCTAAAACAGTCCACACTGCAAGTCAAGGCGCGATCTACCCGATAAAAACAGGCAGAGAAAAGGCAGGATAATCCTGGGGGAAGAAGGACTTTTCCCTCCTCAAATCTCCAAATATTATTTAGTTAAAAATCAACTTTTTTTTTTTATCCTCACCCAAGGATATTTTTATATGTATCTCCAGATAGAGTGGGAGGGAGAGACGGAAGAGAGAGAGAGGGAAACATCGATGTGAGAGAGACACATCAATCAGTTGACGTCCGCACGACCCCAACCAAGGACAAACTGCAACCGAGGTATGTGCCCTTGGCTGGAATCGAACCCAGGACTCTGGTCTAACCACTGAGCAAAACCGGCCACGGTAAAAACATCAACTTTTTTATCGGCTGAAAGTATAACGAGAAACCAAAAGAAAGGTTCTCCAGGCTGTGGTTTTCTCCCTAAACTCCCTCTTCTCATCCTCTTTTGGAATTTTCAACATTCAACCTTTGGCCAATTTGGGGGTGGGGGAGGCAAAATGGCCCAGGCTGAGCAGCCCAAAGCCAGCTTTATGGATAAAAGATCTATGTTTTCTGGATCCACCATGGAGACTTTTCATCTCGGGGAAGACGGGCAAAGGATGAAATGGGAAGCTTCATGGCACGCTTCACTGCCCACAGACGTCACAGCTAGAATCTGCTAGAACGTATTCCCCTACTTTCTTACTGTCCCTTCCCACTCCGTCCTGGTGATGGCCACGCCACAGGCAGGGATGCGTTGGCCTCCTTTGTTTCTTATGCACGTCCCTCACATCTAGGTAAGTCCACACTGCATGAATGAGCCTGTCACATCTCAGGGACCCGCCCAGCCCAATAATCAAAACATTCAGGATATGCATGCAAACTGGAAGTTTTGAGGGCAGAGGAGTCTCATCTCTCCCTACAACAGAAACTACGCTGAGCCTTTTCCTGCTGAAAAGCGCCCTTTACTTCTCCGAGAAGTGCCTGTTTCAAGGGTCTTTTTAAAAACGTGTCCCTTTCCCCAGTCCTTCCAAGAACGGAAGGCTGCTGCTCAGAGGAAAAGGTGAGAGGGGAGAATTCAGATCTCTTCGTTTTCCAAGTCGAGACAGTCATTGACACCCTCCCGTCCCTGGTGATCCTGCTCCGTTTCGGGCAGAAGCTCCCAGCGAGAACTCCAGTGGGATGCGAAGTTTTAACATTCAGGGGAGCAGATGAACTTGCCGCGGTGTGTGTGCCTGAATGAGAAATCACCCAGCTCGAACCTGCTAGGCCCACTGGTCTCTTCGCCTGTGCTGGATTTGGGTCAAACAGCACAACCGCAAATCAGAAAATATCAGCATTGTTTTGTTTGGCAAAAAAAAAAAGTGGGCATTGCTAATGACAGTCCAACCAGAGCAAAGAGGCCATCTGCCCGACTGCAATGAAAGGGTGACTGTCTCGCCCCAGCAAGTTCTGCCCACTCCCAGGGCCACAGACCCTTTGAATGGGCCTCCTCGAACAGGAGCGAATAAAATCAGCCAAGGAATCTGTTGTTCTGTGCTTCCCGTGCCTCTTTGTTTCTAGGTATCTGCACAATCAATTGGCTCCTTCACAGGAAGCTCGGGGAGAGCATCCCTGGAGCATTTTCTTTATCCCAGCGCATCTAAATTAGAATGTTTGCATTAAACATTAATGAAAAAAAATTAATGAGGTTCCGCGGGAAGGTCAAACAGATTTGTATGAGAAGGGTGGGGCTTTGTGCAAGGGTGGGACTCGTCATTTATTTCCCCGTGGCCACAGGACCTGGGCAAGCTGACTCACCCCCTTCACGGAGGGGAGGGAAACTGACATCCCCATAGGGTGGTACCTTGAGGGCAAAAACGGGAAGAAAAAAAATCCCAGAGACCACGACAAAGATAACCACAAGGAATGTAAATAAAATATTATTACAAGAGGCTCACTCACCACCTCACACTCAGCAGCTCCCTCCCCCAGAGCAAAAAGTAAAAACATACAAAGTGCGCGTGTGTTTTAAAGAAGTGTTGAGCTGCTCTTTGGGAAGAAGCCATGAATCTGAAGACTTTTTTTCTCCATTTGGCTCACTTGGATCATCACAAGGCTGGAGACGAACGTTTAAAAGAGCACCGGGCTGTTTACCCATTTAAATTTGGGGAGCATGCGGTTGAGCCCCACATTGATAAGTATCTTCCAACAGTGACTTGATGTCAGTCAGTGATAAGCCACGATTACTCCAGCTTTCGAAAGCCAACACTGGGCCCTCTCAACAGGACATCTCAAAATGAACTAAATGCACCACAAGCATAAGCTATAATAAACCAGACTCGTGCCAAATGTCCGTGTGTACATTTCACAGGAGAGCCAGCAGGACCTGCCTAGTAAGGATCGATCGTCAGGTGGAATGCAAGCCAGAGCCCTCCCCTGCCAAGGGTCACGGGCTCTGGAGCACACAGGAGTCCCTAAAGGAGACAGGCCAGAAGACATCACCTCAAGGGACAAAATCCACAAACTCTGCCAAGGCACTGACCACTATGCAATAAGAGCCGCCTTACAGAACTGTGGGCTGAGCTCTCCAAGGATGTCCAAGAGCTACCCATGTCACAGGATGGGGAACCCTTCAGCCCCCACCCCCAATCACCCTCTCTTTCAGAACAGAAGCCATGCCCCAAACTGAGTAATTGAAAGTCACAATTGGTGACCGACCGGTGCTACTGCCGAAATACATTGACATCACCTTTGGCCAACCATCAAAGCCCAATGTTGACATTCTCTTACTAAGTCAAGGAGGGGTTAGAGGCTGGCCACGCTCCACCCCATTTCCAAGGCTAAAGGTCCCTTCTCTTGATCAGTCTGTCTGAGACCCTGGGGCATTGGCCTGATGGCTCTGGTTCCGTCCAGGCCAGGCGGGCACACTTCCCACATGTCTCTGGCCCAGGGAGGCGTGGACAGGGCTGTGGGGCCTCGGCTTCTACTAACCACAGTGGCTGAAGCAGGTGAATCCTGGGTATGAGGACGCACAGATTAGCCTCTCGCAGCAGCTGAGCCTTCCAGAGCTTTGCATTTTCATTGAGAAACCTTCCAAGCCAGCCAGGGCGCCCGGCCTTCAACGTCCTGACTCCTCAGACACACTGGGCCTCCAACAGCGCTATATCTTACCACTTAAACACTTCTTCAAACTTTACTATGGAACAATGTGGCTCGGAGCCTGCCAAAAGTTTCACTGCAGGACTCGGTGGATTTTATCTGGCAGAGCAGCTGCCCTCCCTCCCGAGAATATCTGTGGGCAAAAGGAAGTCATCGGACCTCAAGTCGGGGCCATTCCAGGGTCCCCTCTTAAAACTCAACTCTTTCCCACTTTGACCCCTCTCCAGCTCCAGAGCTTCAGAATCTAAATGAAAGGGATTTCAGTGGAGAGCTGTGAAAACTTCTGATGGGATGACCTGGGACATAATTATTTCTGGCAGAATTTAACTTTTGATTTTTAAATATCTGGGGGAACGGAGGTTCAGGAGAGAGAAAGGGAGGGCGCCAACGAATGGAGGGGAGGGGGAATAAGTAGCATACCATGACCAAGCCAAACCAAGCTTGATAGGTCCAAATTATATTGGCAAATGGATGCTTTTGCAAATCATTTATTCTGTCTTTCCTGGAGACAAAAAGAAGAAAAATCTGGATGCAAAAACCGTAACCCCAGACCAGTAAAATTGTGTCAATGGAATGCAATCTTAAATTGCTGGTCAGAAAGTCCCACCTTATTTATTCCAAGGCACACACAAGCACCCTCCAAGCCGAAAGTTGTGACGCCGGAAGCGATTCGTTCCTGAATTTATCACCCCCTAGCCCCTGCCCGGCGCCTGGCGCTGGGTTAAGCCGACAACATCATGTTCCTGTCTGTGCGTCTTACACGATCGTTCTGGGCAAATCCCTGCAAGTGGGCAAAGGCGCCAGCTCGTCTCCTCTGGCCCAGGCACCTCCTCCTCCAGGCTGGCCCCCGGCTGCCTGGATGCCCCTTACCTGCAGGCGCTCGGTGGCCGGCTGCCACATCTTCCAAGCAGCAGGGTTTGGCAGAGGAGACGCTGGCGAGACTGGGGGATGCGCCTGGGGGCGAGGGGCTGCGGTCCCGCTTTACATCTGGGGTCGGTGTCCCCGGGATGTGCGTCCGGGAGCCAGTCCCCGCCGCCGGGTGGGCGAAGGGAGCTGCTGCGAGCAGGAGGAGGCAGCGCCGCGCTCAGCTGCCGGCAACTTGTGGGCACGGCGGCGGCTGTCCTGGCGCAGCTGCGAGAAGACTGCGCAGCTCCGCCCGGGCCCCGAGCGCACGGCGGCGGCGGCGGAGACCGCTCCCTCCCCCTCCTCCCCCGCCGCCGCCTCCAGACCTGCGCGCTCTGAGCATGCCCGGGCCGGCGCCCGCCACAGCCAGCACCCCGGCCGCGCGGTGGCCCCCAGACCCCAGCGAGGGGAGAGTGGGGGAGCCGGAGCTGGCCGCCCTGCTCCCCGCAGGAACCCCGCCTGGGTTGGGTCTGCGAGAGGGGACAGACAGGCGGGGGAGTGAAGGGTTGGAGAGAGGGGCTTTCTGGAGAAAGAAACCATAGCCCCTTGGGGCCCCAAGCTTCCTGGGGACAGGGTCTCTGAATCGCCTGTGCTGGGCAGCAAACTCCCATTCATTCTTTCCTCTGGAGTTAAATGATCACCTATTACTCTCCAGTCCCTAAGCTGGGGCCTGAGGATAGAGCCGCACAGAATAGAATATAAGACAGTGTTCCTCCTCTCCCGAACTTCTATTCTAGTTGGGGAGAGAGTCCACCACCCACCGGAGAAAATATGTGAACAAGTGTTAGGTCAGGTGGTGATTAATGTTGGAAAGAAAATAAGTCAGAGCTTTTCACGTGGGAGCCCCTGGGTTGTTTGCAGTAAGATCAGAAAGATGTAGTGAGGTGCTGGCTGAAGACTGGGGCACCTATAGCTGGATGAGCAGGACGACCCAAGATCCTCCCTCCTTCGTCCCTGAGATCTGCCAGGTGCCACAGGAGGCTCTGGGGACCCAGAGGAGATAAGCCATGGGCCACCCTGAGCTCCCAGCAAAGAGGCCCCAGCTGCCCTCCTCCCCAAATAACCACCTTTCCTAAAATGGCCTGGCTCTTCACATCCTCTTGACAACGGAGCAAGATAAGTATTCCTATGCCCATCTTTAGGCAGAAGGAGTCGGGCTTGTGGAGATGAGGTCACTGTCCAGGGCACACGGAGTGGTTTAGAGTGCACACTCGGATGGATGGCTTCGAGGCCAGCTCTCGCCACACAGCTCTAATGTTCTGACCGGGGAAACACCTGGGAAAGAGCAGCCCCTTGGGGCTGTGGGAGGAGAAACGTGGCAGGATGGGTTGCCAGCTGCCTCTGGACGGCTGGCCAGGTGTGGGGGAAGACGGCGGGACACAAGAACTGGAGAGGGGAGGGGAAATGCGTTGCATGGGGGTCTCAAGGATCTGGGGAGGTGGGCCCTGAGCTTCAGGGCAGCAGGCAAAGGGCCCTGGGGGCACACCTGTGCTCTGTCAAAATTAACATCCCATGTCCAGAAGGCTCTGTGCGTTATCGTGAATAAGCGAAGTCATATCAGAACATCCCGGAACCCAGCGGTCAGCTCATTGCATCCTCCCAGCAGCCATCTCAGGGACAGAAACCCAAGTCTCCCAAGGCTTGTGCAACACAAGTTCCTTGGAGTCGCCCAGGAGTCACCAGTAGTGCTTCCGGTCCAGGCGCCCCGCCCCCAGAGCGCTTCTTTCCAGGGCCCCAGGCAGCTCCCTCCAGAGCACACAGCTGTTGGCTGGTGCCACCCACCCAGGAAGGGCAGGACCTGGGTGGTCTAGGAGCCTCTAGCAAAGCCACAGAGATGCTTCTGAGAGGCTGGTCTCTGTCTCCCCAGATGGCCACAGGACTGCCCCCTTCACTCAGACCTCTCCACCCCCCCAAACACCCCCAACTCCCCCTCCTGCCTGAGGAGCACGAGGACTCCCTTCTTCCCCAGTCCCTGCCCTTGCTCTGGACCCATCAATAGGTCCCTTGTGATGAGGTGTCCTGCCTGTATGTGGCAGCCCTCCGTGGACATAAAGCTCAGATGTTTCATGTGGTCTCTGTCTTGAGACGATATTTTACTTTTCCTATAACTCATCCTCTCACACCTGAAAACGTGCTGATGAATATAACAGACCTTCCCAGCCTCCTAGTTCTCTTTTATCAAATCCCAAAGCAGAAAGAGATGCCTGCCCTTCATGACGAAAATCTAGAAAATCCAAATGTGCATATTCAGCCACTCAGGAAGCTAAAACAGGCATGTTCGGTTGCCAGGGATGTCTTCAGACTTGAGCTCTGAAATCTTCCTTCGTTACAGATGCCTCCATGGAAAAGTGATTTTTGTTTTAAATAGCAGCGGGATGAGATAGGCCTAAATTCGCATCCCATTAGAGCATTAAATCCTGTCTCCTCACCTCCGAGTGTAGTTAATTGTGATGACTCAGTAGCACAGCTTTTAGTTCAGAGTATGGTGCTATTTAAAAAGTCTTTGGCTCTGTGGAGATTGCTTTCAGTTACCAGTCCCACAGCAAACAGATTTGGTGAAGTAGAGAATGTGTTTAAACTCAAGCAACGCTGCTGTTTCAACTACCTTCATGCCATGAATCAGAAAACTGGGGGAGGGGGTGAGAGTGGAGGTGGAGGCTGGTGGAAGGTGACAAAAGGGATGGGACAACCTCCATCAGTTTTGCTCCCAAGCCTTCCCATTCAGGAGGAACCTGCCATAGAGGGTGAGTGAAATAGAGACATCTACTGGCCAGAGGTAGGACATGCACCCTGATCTCTCCCAGTTCTGTTCTGGGGCATCACCTCCTCCTGTGAGTCTGAAGGTATCGCTTTACAGCATAAACCAATACATCCTGAGCAAAGAAACATTCTCGAAATAAGCAGGAGGTGTTTGGGTGCAATGCATAGAAATGTTCTGCACATAAACACGTGCCTAATTCCATGTCCTTAGTCCCCCATAATTATCTAAATAGGTCTCATCTTAATAAATACTATTTTAAGGAAAAAATGACAAAAAAATAAAAATAAAAAAGAGTGACAAGACCCAGATGAATTATAAAAATTGTGTTTTGTCCAGGGAAAGAATTACAACCATCCCTGGAATTTTTGTAAGCCAGATTAAATCTTGTCTATGACTCTGGGCCCTAAGGTAAGCAGCCTAGTTCTCTAACTCTGGACAAGCCCGGCAGGTGCGGCTCCATGGACTGAGCGAGTCCCTGGACTGAGAAGTCCTGGTTTGATTCCCGGTCAGGGCACATGCCTGGGTTTTGGGCTTCATCCCCAGTAGGGGGCACACAAGAGGCAGCTGGTTGATGTTTCTCACATCGATGTTTCTATCTCTCTCTTCCTTTCTCTCTGAAAAATCAATAAAAATATGTTTTTAAAAGATAAAATAAATAGGTCGCCGTTTTGGTTCCTGGTCAGGACACATGCTCAGATTGCGGGCCCTATCCCCAGCGGGGGGGGGGGGGGTGCAGGAGGCAGCTAATCAATGTTCTCTCTCATCGATGTTTCTATATCTCTCTCCCTCTCACTTCCTTTCTCTCTAAAATCAATAAAGAGAAAAATAAATAAATAAATCAGGATAAAGATGAAGTCAATTATGGTCTAATGTATCAAAGCAACATTAAATAGTATTCAGCTATTAAGGAGGGTAATGATGAAGCTGTGTTGTAGCTGAAAATGCTTTTGGTATAATCACAGATTTTTATATTTATTTATTTATTTATTTATTTATTTATTTATTTATTTATTTTTATCCTCACCCGAGGACATTTTTCCATTTTTTGCACAGACAGAGTGGGAGGGAGAGAGAGGAAGAGAGAGAGAGAGAAACATCAATGTGAAAGGGACACATCGAGTGGCTGCCACCCGCACGACCAACCAGGGCCGGGGACAAACTGCAACCAAGGTACATGCCCTTAGCGGGAACCGAACCCGGGTCTCTCCGGACCACAGGCGGGCGCTCTAACCGCTGAGCCAAACCGGCCAGGGCATAATCACAGATTTTTAAAAGTAGACTAAAATGTGCATACTTTGAATATATGTATAAAATATGTATTCATCTCAATAAATATTGAAAAGCAGCTAGGACAATGGGGGAGAGACTCAGATGGAGTTGCAGCATTTGAATTATCCAGGTGATTGCTTTTGGCAAGTCATTTGCCTTGTGGGACCTCAGATTTCTCGTCTGTAGAAAGGGTGATATTATTTAACACTCAGAATTATTGGGAGCCATGACAGAATGAATGTATGCAACATGCTTGCCACTTAATAGGTGTGCAGAAAACATTAGTTTTCATCTCATAACCTCCTTCCCACTTTTTATTATTGAAATGATCAAAGTCTCACAAAGTGGCTCATGTGTCTCGTGGTTAAGTCATTTCCATTTGGAATATTTGTGGATTTTAACGATCTGCTTTAGTTCCTCAAACAAAAGTGATAAGCCATATTTAAGCTCATTTACCTTTCCAATTTAATCAGATAGCCAGCAAAGTGTATTATGGTTGCATATTTAGCAGAGCAAGCATGGGAAAGACCTTATGGTGTCATTAACCTTATTTCAAAATCACTGAAATAGCTGCAGATGAGCAATATAGAAAAGTCTGAATTCATTAAACCATTTGCATCTTTCTGTAGTAATGGAGCCACTGGCTCATGTCCCTGATAGGTGTTTAGTACGGTATTCACATAACCCTTTTCCTCCCTTAGAAGGAAACTGTCACAGTTCACCTGCAAACTTAGTTAAAGGCAAATGGCACAAGACAGGTGAATGCCTGGGACGCATGTTGCAACTCTCCTATTCAAAACTTCCTCATACCTGCGCCTGTCTTGGAACCGTGGTGGGTTCATTTCAAAGACGGCCACAAACATTCCCCTCTACCGGAAGTCGTGCCCTTGCCTATTTCTTTCATCACGAGATGGAACGTATCTGCACCCTTTGAACCTGTGCTGGACCTTGGTTTGCAAACTGGTCCCCACACACAGAAGGCACGGTTAGACAGAAGAGGCAGACGCTCCAGATTGGTAGGTGGCAGGTGTAATAAACACGGGAACTTATTTATAGACAAGGCTTGTCCTCAGCAACTGCAAAACAAGTAGATCTCTGCACCCATCTACCAGAACCTTAAAAGTTTATAGAAAGGCCTTCATGGGGTTCAGTCTTGCATTCAGTCCAGATGATCTCGACAAGGCT